AATTAAAAGCCCGGTTGAAATGGCCGTCATATTGATTTGATTGGTAAATATAACGTGTCTCTCTCGGCTATTATTCTAGATATATTTAATTGACACGTATACTATTACTATCTCCCTGATAATGTCTACTACATCGTTAACACAGTTCATTGCGTGCATTTTGCATACCGATAGTTCATTGGCCAATCACGCTATTTTACCGAGATTTCGCCTAATAGTTTGGATGCAGCTATGGCGGGTGTGGCGCCAGGCAGGGTAAGCTTACTCTTCCGGACACCTGTTACCACTGTTTGTCGTGTATTTTGTGCACGAGGAGCAGTCCATTTGCTGATTACACTATTTTGCTTGAATACACTATTTTGCCTATAACGTTTTTTAGGACTTCGAATTCTGTCTTATGGTTTGGATTGTTCGTACTTGGTTTTATTTTATTTATATCGGTACCACCACAGGAGTCATGAATGACCACTGCCAGAAGTTAAGTTTTTAGGACATCTTGTTTCAGAAAAGGGAATATCGACGGACCCCGAAAAGACACACCCGGTCAGTACATGGCCATTACCTAAGTCTGCCAAGCAGGTACGCAGCTTTTTAGGTCTCTGTTCGTATTACCGACGATTCGTCAAGGGATTTGCACATAAAGCTAGACCACTACATAAGATATGCGAGAAAGGAGTCATTATTAATTGGACGGATGAATGCCAATTGGCATTTGACGACTTGAAACTTGCACTCACAAGTACACCGGTCTTGGGATACCCAAAACCCGGGGAACCATACATCATTGATTCGGATGCAAGTGGCCGAGCTGTCGGTGCTGTGCTCTCGCAAATGGAAAACGGAGCGGAACGAGTGATTGCGTAAATGAGCAAATCGATGAACAAGCAAGAATAACTGTACTGCGTGACACGGACGGAACTCTTGGCCGTTATACTTGCTCTAAAAACGTTTCATTCCTACGTGCATGGACAGGAGGTAACCCTGCGAACTGACAACGCAGCAGTCAGTTGGATGAGGAATTTAAAAAGACCTACAAGGGCAGACCGCACGGTGACTCCAAGAGATGGGTACTTACAACATCACGGTCGTACATAGAGCCGGTAGGATACACACCAACGCGGACGCACTATCGCGGAAGCCGTGCGGAGCGTGCGAACGGCAACAGAAAAACGGCAACGACTCGGGCGGTAGCGACGAAGATGACTTAAGTTGCGAGGAAGACATCTACTGTGAGATCAAATAAGAGAGGCCCAGACTTAGGAATAATATTACAGGAGATCGAAAATGGCAATTCTAGGCCCCACTTGGATCGAATTTCGGCTGGGACTAAAACTTTGAAAATTTTATGGAATCAATGGGATAGATTTTTAATCATTAAAGGGATGTTATATAGGTCGTCATACGAGGAGACATCAAGCTCGCTTCAGTTACTTGTCCCTAAATCGCACATAGAGGAATTAATAAAATACTATCATAGCCTACCTACCGCGGGACATTTAGGCTCTGAGAAAACTTTAGCAAGAATAAGGGATTCATTTTACTGGCCGACAATAGGGGAGTCCGTACGATTGTATTGCAAAAGTTGCGGGGCACGGAAACCGCCGAACCGCCCTTCAAAGGCGCCCCTGGGACAATATTTAGCCGGAGAACCGATGGAGAGGATCGCGATGGATATACTGGGGCCGCTGCCTGTCACAGGAGTGTATACCAAGAGAGTAAACCCATTGTTACCGTAGTCGTCAACGAATTTATATGTCGTTTTGGAACGCCATTACAAATCCATACCGATCAGGGGAGTTGTTTCGAGTCTAAACTCTTTAGGGAAATGTGCTATCTATTTCGGATTGACAAGACTAGAACTAGTAGCCAACATCCGCAAGCTAACGGTACGGTGGAAAGGTTTAATAGGATACTAGCCACAATGTTAACTGCTTTCTGCTTGAATGAACAAAAGAGGTGGGACGAATATTTACCTCAAGTTATGATGGCGTATAGGTCGTCCATGCACTCGAGCACAGGTCAGACTCCGAACATAATGACTTTAGGACGGAACCTTGTAATGCCCATTCAAGCCCTTATACCTAGGCCTCACGACGACGCGCAAACCGTCGAAGAATACGTGGAAAATTTACAGTATACATTATCAAATGCCCATGCCTTTGCTCGAATAAAACTTAAACGAAATTCAGATTATCAAAAGCGTCACTACGATCTCAGGGCTACTAAGAGGTCATTTAAAGAGGGACAACCCGTTTGGTTATACGACTCATCCAGGAAAGTAGGAGTTTGTAATAAACTGACCTCCAAATGAAAGAGTCCTTATGTGATTATGCGTATAATCGACGACCTCACGTATCTCGTGAAACGATCAAAGAAACAAATGGCTAAGGTTTACCAAATCGACAGGTTACTGCTATACAAGGGGCGAAACCCACCCACTTGGTTTAAAGGGACGATAACACTCTTGCTGGCTTGACAGCTCCAGAAAATAGAAAAATAGCCTTATTCTAAGTACTAGATGTGTTAGTGTCTTATCTGTTGTGTAAATTATCCATTAAATCCTGGGAGCCACGGTGGCTAGGTGGTTAAGACGCTGGCTCGCTAGCCTGGAGGTCGTATGTTCGATCTCTGCATTGGCCGAGAAAGTTCATCTGGATTTGCCGACGTGGTTTCCTCCTGTCAGTGGTGCAGAACAGAGGGCCTGACAAGGACAGCTGTCTAGTCCTTCGGATGAGACGAAAAACCGAGGTCCCGTGTATACATTAGAATGCACGTAAAAGATCCCTTGGCAGTTGGAATTCGATATAAGAGTAGGCGATAGTGCCTCTGCCCGGGCAAAATTTCCCTCATAGCACACTGTATGGCGTATGCCCGTCTTCATTAGCCCAGTATAGGAGCAGAACAGTAGGACGTTAAACCCCATTTCATTTTATTTCCATTAAATCCTATTTTACTTGTTCGAAAATATTTTTAAATCCAAGTCACATTTGAAAAGCTTTACGTCAGGCTTTTCAAATCATTTAGTTGAATTTTTCCAATTTTTAAAATTAGGTGTGTTAAGATGAAATTTGTATCATCAATTAATTGGAATATTGTAGAATAGTACAATTTGTTGACCAGAATAAAGATTGGGACATATTATTCAGTTACAACAAGAGTGGTATTGAGCCTTTAAAGAATCGGGAAGTCTAGGGGACAGGAATTCTGGGATAGTCTGCGGGAAATAGAACGATTATTCTTTGGGGTCTTAGGAGAATAATAATAGGGAAATAATCGGCAGGGAGATATACGGACACGTGCATAGCTCTATGAATAGGGGTTATATGGAACGGGTAGGCGAGAACGGAGGAATCTGTCGTCTTAGCTCTAGATATTGGAATAGACGATTTCGTGAAATTTCTTAGGAACCTAAATGGACGCATCAAGGCTCTCGAACGATTTCGTTTATCCCTAAAAGGAGACATACTCTACGGTTTGACTCGTATCTGTAGAACTGGGTTGTACGTGGCCCCCGGGGCCCTGGCCGATCAAATGGTGGTTGGATCCTTGGAGGATGCCTATATTATTAACCAAACAAGGATAATCGAGTTGTCGCCGGTAACTGGACGGATGCGAGTTTCACAGGGGGAAGGGGGGATGATAAAAAAAAGTTATTAAACAATAACAAGGACAAATAATGGTGATTAAAGGACGGTCAAAGGAACAATGCTTGAAATGGGGTTATTAAACAATCGCATCCGCAGCGATACGATTTATGGGTGGAGATTGTCATAGCTTAGTTTCTTTCAGGATGAGACCTCCATCAGCTGTTGAAGTCAAGTGCCATCTATGTCCCGAAACTTTTAAAAACAACAGGCTGCTTAAAAATCATCTGGCCGCCAAGCCACACCAGCGTCTGAGTTTGATTTGCGTATGGTGCAGAGAAGAGACGAACTTTAGAAAGGTGGTCGACCTAAAAAAAAAAAACACGTTAAAACCCACCACCGGAGCAAGCTTGAGCTAATGCCGATAGAATTTTTCTCCGAGAATAATGGTTTTTGGATGGCCCTCTCCCCAAATGACTACCGAAGGCTGATGTCCCCTCCTATGAAAATACACAACAAGCCATCAAGGCCCGGATGGAGGTGCTATCTTTTTTGGACAACGTTAAAAATACCGCACGGACGAGACCGGAGTGGGTTGAGGGATGGAGAAGTCCGATAACAGCACCCCCACCGACAAAATGTTACCAAATGCTGGGAAGCGGAGGACATCAAGTTGACGATGGGTAGTTCGGAGGATACACTAAATGCTGGTATAAGGTACCTGAAAGTCGATCTTCTGTGATCCCAAAGCCGTGGAGTCGCTCGCCAGGCGCATGGCTTCTTTGCAGGTAAGCCTTTCGGCAGTGGGGGAAACACAATCTCGTGTTTTCCACACTGTTAGACATGAAGACAGAGATTCCTGGAAGGACACCGCTGCTCAAGCCCTCGGAATCCAGTTATCCCACCTTGGGGAGCTGTTTGACCTTATTAGACCAATGACGCCTCTACCTACGCCGTCTACGTCGGAAATAACGCTGGATCTAGAAGAGGATATTATATTGGATTTTGAAGAAGAAATGGTGGAGATTAGGAAGAGGAAGACGAAGGAGAGCAGGAAATAATGGAGAAGAAACGGATGAAGACAGGGGGTGATAAGGAGGAGGACGGATTAGAGAAGGAGAAGAAACGGAGGGACGAGGAGAGATCAGAGAAGGAGAAGCAGATAGTAAAGGAGAGGACCGAGAGAGAGAGAGGTTAGAGAAGGAGAGGGAGGAGAAGGTAGAACACGAGAGGACCGAGAGAGAGAGGTTAGAGAAGGAGAGGACTGAGAGAGGGAGGAGAAGATAGTAAAGGAGAGGACCGAGAGAGAGGTTAGAGAAGAAGAGGGAGGAGAAGATAGTAAAGGAGAGGACCGAGAAAGAGAGGTTAGAGAAGGAGGGGGAGGAGAAGATAGTAAAGGAGAGGACCGAGAGAGAGGGGTTAGAGAAGATAGTAAAGGCGAAGTTAGAGAAGGGGAGGTTAGAGAAAGAGAGGGAGGAAAAGATAGTAAAGGAAAAGTTAGAGACGGAGAGGAGACGGAATGAGGAGGAGATGTTAGAGAAGCAGAGGAGACAGAATAAGGAGGAGAAGATACAGGAGGAGAAGGAGAGGAGACAGAAAGAGGAGGAGAGGTTACAGGAGGAGAGGAAACAGAGAGTCGAGGAGAGGTTACAGAAGGGTAGGACGGAGGAAGAGAGATTGGAGAAGGAGAGGAAACGGAAAGCTGAGGAGAAGTTAGAGAAGGAGAGGGTGGAGCAGATAGTAAAGGAGAGATTAGAGGAGGAAAGGAGGCAGAAATTCGAGGAGAGATTAGAGAAGGAAGGGTCGCAAAAGGAGAGATCGGAGGAGGAAGGACCGGTGACGGAAACAACGAAGGAAGAAAGTATGGCGCCATCACTTCGTAAGAGGACACGACATCTGCTGCGCCGAGGGGGTATGCCCTTATTTCCAGCTGGGCGAAGAGAGTGGACCGGGGAAGAGATTGATGAACTGGTAACAACATCAAAAAAATATATGTGGCCACCACAGGGCTGGAGAAGCATGAGTGCCCATGAAAAGCTCTACCATTTCGAACTGTGCTAGAATAACCACACCGAAGCCTAAGGCTGATCTGCTGGTACGATACAGCTATCTAGTCTCTCCCGGAACAGCCGATACCATCAAGACAAATAACGCCACATATGTAAAAGGCCAGTATAGATTTTACGTATACACAGCTCTGCGGAGAATTGCGGAGGAAAAGGGTCGATCAGCAGGGGATGAAGATTTAATCAAGATGCTGGAGGAGGCGGTGAGTGGGAGACCAATCGACGATGTACTGGTAAAGATAGAGGAAATGGGGATACCTCTACGAGTCGCTGTCGACCACAACTGTTAATTGTTTTCATCAATTCATTAGTTTTGGTATTTTTACATAATTCAGGAGAATTAAGAAATTAACGTGGGGGGAGTGTAATATATAGAATTCAGTCCTGTACATATTATTATATATTTTTGCATTCTTTGATTGTTATATTGTTATCTAAGTTTTAGATTGTTTGTTAAATTATTAGCAGGGGGCGAGGATTTCGGTACTGGTATATTGTATATTTTGTATAAAACTAACAAGGTTTACTTACTTGTTAGCCTCTCGAATAATCTCCCCGTATTTGTGCACTTATTATTAATTACAACATTGCATAGTTCTTTTCCGAAACGTTCAATTTTGCATTAGAATAGTCCTTAGTTACGAGCACATTCATAGTTCACAACGTAGACGTCCATCTTGTGTCACGTCGATCTTAGCACCGACTTGTCCAGATTTTTATATAATATTTCTATTTACTTAATGATTATGCTTATTGTACATCATTGCCAAGACTATTAATTCATCTTGGTTGCTATAATAATTATTACGGGTTTTAATATGTTTTAAGACTCGGCAGATTTCTGCGAAAGACTTAAGGAAAAGGATGAAAATGGTCAGTTAGTTAGTTATGATGTAGTTTATTTGTTCACAAAGATGAAGCCGTAATTCTTTTAAGACGATGAGTTGAAGCTATTTACCATGAATTGTCCACAAACCTCAAAATAGATAGTTTAATTCAACTCATAGAGGATTGTATCAACTCTACTTACTTTACATGGCAAGCCGATATTTACGAACAGGTTACCATGGGTTCTCCAATAAGTCCACTCATAACGGAAGTGTACATGACGCATTTTGAAGAAACTGCCCTCTTGTCTGCACCTTTCCAACCAATACAATGGATGAGAAAAGTCGATGACATATTTGTCATCATGGAACCAAGTAAGAATCATCAGCACCTTCTTGATCATCTTAACGGCGCCCGACCTCGCATGAAATATACAGTAGAACTAGAAAATGACAACCAGCTACCTTTTCTAGACGTATTGGTGAAAACTCTGCTGATAATCTAATAAACGTGGTTTACCGTAAGCCGACCCACACAGACCAATATATACATAACAGTTCGAACCATCCAAATAAAGTCAAAACAGGAATTATAAGTACTTTAACTAGACGCGCTAAATTATTGTGTGACGAAGAACTACTTAATGATGAACTACAACACATCAACAATGTCCTCATAGAATACAATAACTACCCTGAAAACAATGTTAAAACGATCATGAAGAAAACCCTCACGCATACGTGCAAACCACTCCAAGCTGTAAGAAATAATCACCCGATATTCATCACTATTCCATACATAGGACCAGTCAGTCACCAAATCAAAAGAATTTTAGAGCAAATAGATGCAGATGTAGTGTTCAGCAGCGGAACCACACTAAAAACCATGTTAAACGCAAATGGCAGAATAAAACAACCCAGAGACGACCCAAAGGGTGTTATATATATAAAATAAAATGTGAGTGTAATGACGAATACATTGGAGAAACGTCACGTCCGATATCAGTGCAAATAAAGAGCATCACACCGCAGTTAGGAAGCAGGAATATAATAAATCTGCAATTGCAAAACATATTATTTTCAACAATCCGCAGCATGAAATCAAATGGGAAAAGGCGGAAATTCTAGCCAGGAACTTGACAGTGTGGAAAAACAGAATTCTCAGAGAAGCCCTAGAAATCCAGAAACATAAGCCTAAATTAAACAGAGACTCAGGACATTTTCTCCCAAATCTATGGGAAGATTTACTCCCTAATTACTGTGTGGTTAATGTACCCCCCCCCCTCCCAAATTGCTGTTCTTTTTTCTTTTTCTTTTACCTGCTAAAATGGTTTTCACTTGTTATCTATATATTTGTACTGGTTATTTAATTGTGGTCATTGGCTTATCTTATAAATGGTTTCAAATTGTGATCTTTGATCTTGTTAATTAATTGTTGTTGTTGTGTTATCTGCTAAATGGTTTCTACCTGTTGTCTATATATTACATCTTTCATCTTGTTAATCAATTTGTTGTTATTGTTGTATCTGCTAAATGGCTTCCAAAGTGGTTATCTATATATTGTACTACGTTTTTGTTAATTAATCATTATTTGCTTGATAACGATACCCGTATGAGTATTGAAACGTAGCATGTTAATAAAATTCAGAAGTAGTATATCCATATTAGTGTGTTATTTTTATATAGGCCCATGACAAAAAACTGTCTGAAAAATATAAAATTGCCAATGCGTTATTTACACCATGGACCGTATTTCAGGGTCCATGGTTAACACCCGGAAGTAAGAGAATATAGGCCCACGACAAAAAACTTTGTGAAATGATCCATGTTACCAGTTAACCCGGATGGAGTGGAGTCAGGTTTGTAAGAAAATGTTTTAAAGGCATTTCTTCATCTCCATCCTCAATATATAGTTTTAAAAATGAGTAAATAGCAGAAAATATAACAGCCAACACAACTGACATGGGCGCCGCCATATTGAATAGTCAATGGTCCGGGCCATTTGCGTTCGGGGGCTGGTTCAGACTGTAGTCGCGACCACAGTTTACATCCGAAGTCGTCTTGGGTATATTATGTGCTTTTACACTATTTGCGTAAAGGGGCGCAGCCATTTAACTTTGAATTTGAACTCGGCCGTAATGATTAACTGTAGTATATTTGAACGGTTTTTACAACTAATAAAAATTGTGACCTCTAGAGGGCCCACGGGCTAAAAGTGTGATTTTTCGTACAATCTGGGGCCATAATACAAGAAGTTGCTGTACATTATGCTCCAATATCGACAGGAACCGAGATCTTTCCGTGGCCATCATAAGCAGCAATCACAGCGGGACATTTACTTGGCATAGACAGAATGAGTCTCTGAATCTGGACAAGTGGCACCATAGACCATTCTTTCTGCTGTACATGTGATAGTTCCGAACTCTTCTGGGGCATCTGATCAGACGTCAATGGGGTCGAGATCTGGCCATCTTGATGAACATGGCTGCAAATCAATATTCTCATTTTGTCTGAAATCCACTTATAGACGTGTCGTATGCTGCCTGGCATAATCCTGCTGAAGGAATACTCGATATCGATCCAAAATGGGAGGAAAGGGATGGTGAAGAATTCCAGCCAGGAAGCAAACAGCTGTTTATGTGTCCCTGTATGAACACAAGTTCACTCCTGTCGGTGTAGGAGATGTCCCCTCTACCGAATCTGTCAACTAGCCTGTACATATCACCTGTGCATTTCATTATTGAAATTGCATCACATGTTATCGACCTAGTTTGTGTTCTATTCGATCGTTTCCTTTATGCAGAAAGCGTAAAAGACAAATGGGGTGTGACAAAACGAAAGTGTTAAATTTATTGAGTGATGTTCTCCGCCTTATTAAATATGACTTGGTCATTTCCGGTATTTTTGCATTATCCTCATTGGTATCAGGATTTGTACGTTTTACTTCTACATTGAATCAGATTAAAATAATTTTTAGCATAACAATTAATATTAGCAGCGACACCCTTCCATAACTTGAACTTTACAAACAATTAGACATATAATTTATTATGTAAATAAACATACAATACTAGTACTTTGAATGAGATAGGTTTTTAGTTATTTCTTTAAAATATCTTGTAATTTCAAGGGTTTTTTACACAGTTGAGTAAATAATTCCATAGCCGTGGAAGGACATGTCTGCAAATGTTTTTCATTTTGTAGATGGAACAAAAAACGAATGGCATTACCCTTCTATAATTGGCACTGTACAAATAATAAGACATATAATTTATTATGTAAATAATCATGCAAAAAATACAATACCAGTCCTTTGAAAGAGATGCGTTTTAGTTATTTCTTTAAAATAGCATATAAGAGGTTCTGTTTATATTGTCGGGTAAAAAATTCCATAGCCGTGCACCGGCAACACATAAGGACATGTCTGCAAATGTTTTTCATTTTGTAGGTGGAACAAATAATGAATGGCTGCTTGAAGATGTGTTGAATATCGGTTAGGATTAGATTTAAAGGGGCAGTTTCAGGTATATTTTGGAGAACAACACTGTTTAATTGTGTGAAAAGCCCTTAAAAACCTCTACCTTCGCCTTGGGTACCTTCCTCGAGCTATAGCCCTTCAAAACCTCTACCTTCGCCCTGGGTACCTTTCTGCAAATTTTCCAACAAAAAAAAACAACGGCCAGCTTTTAATTGCGCTTGAAGAGAGATATCCAGGTTTTATTATACACTGTTTATTGTACCGCGTGTCCAGTCATTTCCGCTGTGCTTTCATTTTTTTATGCTGTACCGGCGGAAAAAACTTCGCTGTTGTGTTTCAGTTTCGATTTATTTTTATCGGTTTTTGCGAGCGGATTCGACATTTCTGCGCTAAATATGGACGTTTTAGACATAAACAGAACTCTAATCACC